ACACTGGACGCTACCTCCAGTTTCCATCCAACCACCCAGCCAATCATAAGGCGTCGGTGGTCAGGACACTCTTAACCAGGGCAAAGACCATCTGCTCATCAGAAGAGGACAAAAGAAAGGAGGAACGAACCGTCATTGCTGACCTTAAGAAAAACGGCTACACGAGCAGCTTCATCCATCGCGTTGCCCGCCGTGTAGGCCGAAACCAACGACACGTGCAGCAACAGTTAAGTGCGAATTTCCGCCCAAACTCCCGCATCAGCGTTCCCTACATCAACGGAACAAGCGAGGCACTGGCACGTGTGCTTGCGAAAGAGGGTATCCAACTAGCGCACAAACCTGTGTCTACCCTTGGACGACTCATGCCACGCCCAAAAGATCGCCCTGGTAAAGAAAGGGCCCAAGGCGTTGTATATAAGATTCCGTGCGGGGTTTGCGCGGCCTCATACATCGGCGACACGAAGAACTTTAGAGAGAGAATCCGTCAACATAAAAACGACGTGCGGCAGTTCGATCACGAGCGTAGCGCGGTTGCTGAGCACTGCGACGTCAAGGACCACCGCATTGACTTCGACAACGCATGCATCGTTTACGTTGAGACAAATCCTCGAAAAAGACTGTTCCTAGAATCATGGCACATTCAAACAACGCCACAGAACATCAACAGATCTCTAGGGGCTTTACCATCCGCCTATGTGAATGGGCTTCGTCACATTATTGAAAAAGGCAGAGCCGTAGAAGAAGACCAGACACACGCCGTAGAAGAAAAAGAAAAGGACACTGCTCCTCAGCGGCCATAGCCGTAGTCGCCCCTGAAGAAGAGGCCGAATTGGCCTTGAAACGTTGGGTCCCTACAGAAGGGCTTGGTTGGTGTTCGAATTTTTTAATATTAATTACTCCCAACCAGACAGATCTCTGTCAAATATTTACTTTTAAATTTTATCAGCTAAACGCGATCACGACCGGGTTTCGGAACGGGCAAGTGGGAATCAATAGCCGGCACCTTCCACGAAACGATGTGCTAGGATCTCATAGGTGGCATTTAATCATACCGACATGTTCGAGTCAGAGCGTGTCAGGAATTTCAAGACCAATTTGCCAATTGCCAAAAGAGCTACTAAAACGTTCAACTTCTCTCCGTTCATGGTGAAAGACTGCCCGGAATGTGATGAAATGATATGACGCTAATCGCAAAAACTGAACGTTTTTATAATGCGCGCTTCTATGACCTTGCCTGTCCCGACTTTAGACACAAACGTTACACGTATATGTTTTCGCGCGGCTATATACAGTTTGATCTGAAGCTTTGAAATAACACGCGCATTACCACGAATGAGGAAGTTCTTTTCAACCTTGGAGGGACATAGCTCACGCCTAATAGAAACGTCTATTGCGTAGTCAGCCAAAGAGGCTCAAAGTAGAAATTATGGGCGCAATCACGTGCTGGAGCTTTTTCAGAACAAACTTACAGCTGTTGTTTTCAACGACTGCCTCCCTTTGCGCAAGCTGTTGTTTTCAACGTCCGAGGGGTTTATGCTAAAATACGATTTTGCCCGACGTGTTCGCGCGCTACAAAGTCACAGCGAAACCGAAGGCCCATCTAATACTGCAGCTCTCCTGAACAATATCATCAAGGTTGAAGTCGGTAATGCGTGCAGAAAGCACACGTCTGAAATGTCACGTGCTGAGGAAGGGTACCGAAATGGGATCGCGGTAGCCAAACATGACGGCACGAGATCCGCAGACGCAACCATACCTGAACAATGATCGAAGTAAAATAATGATATAGTGTTACACCTAAGGCTAAAATATAATCAATTAAACGAATATAATACAGCTCACTAAAAGTAAATGTGTGTTACATTTGAGATTACGCATCGCAAACCGGCCACCATGTTTAATGTGGAGTTTAAAGTAACGATTTCATAGCCAGTATGGAGTTCCCAATCTGCTTTTGTGTACACCTTTTCTTGAGTTTGGCGCCCTTGTTGTAATGCGGATTGAATTATTTTGAATGTTGCTTCGGTGTTATCGTGAACGTATACTAATAGAGTTGCCTCTCGCACTTGGAGCCGTAGTTACATGCGTACAATTGCCAAATTCATCAACACATTGTGAACGCTGCACAATGCCAGCGCAAGGCGTGCATCGTTTGTTCGATATTTGCTTAAAATAAAATAGCGCACCCTTGTAACGGAGATCTGTTTCCCAATACTGCACTAGAGAGAGTCAATAAGCCGGCAAGCCAGATAGCCCGCACCTGCACAATCTTCAGCATTGGTACTGTCTCATGAAATACTCACATTTTACGTCACAGTGACTTGTGAACGATTACGGCAAACAGTATCAGTTAGAATCGCTACACGTACACTCGTGGGTGCCTGAAAACGTTCGCATTATTTTCTTCCCGTTATGCTAAATTGCAGTTCTACAATGTAATAATTGTGTGCCAAAGTAAGTCATCTATAGTATTCGCGTTCAAGGCACGAGAAGGGTGTTATTGCTCCGACATGCGAATACATGTCGAGGCAATGATCGTCTCGAGTCTTAATCATGCAATTACCCTGTCCTCCGTATGAGACGCGTTTTAATATCGTCACCGCTGGGATCGGAAAGCTTGATAGTGAAATGCTGAATACCGCGTGAAATCCTAAAGATCGACAACCTCACCATGCGTTCCCAACAACTTCGTCATCAGGTTTCCGAAGGAGAGACTGAACGCAAACATCCACCTCAATTCCTGAAATTACGCCGCGACAAAGAAGCTTCTTGGTTTTTTTTTCGCGGGCAAGTATTCATTGGCCCCACTAGTGTCAGCAAGCTTCAGTAAGGTAAGAAACGTTCCTATTTAATATCGTTGCACGGCCCTTTTGAGGTTTCAGCTTTGTAGTAGGAAATTGTGCCACTACTAGCTACGTTTCACACAATCAGTCAGCGCATCGTGACGGCACCTTTTGTTTTTGTACGTTGGTTATCGCTGGCTAGACTAATCACATATGGATGTTTTCATCTAACTCAGGCACAGTATCAGGGCCAAATTTCTAATTTTTATAAAAAAAGTTAATGTTTTGGCAGAATTCTTGAAATAAAAGACATTGTAAACGGCAAGCTTGCAGATTTTTTCGTTTTAAAGTTATTGGTATTTGAAGCGATCGCATTACGCGAAACTTTTCTATGTTGTGCGCTACATATAAAGGCAAGTATTAAATTAGGTCATTACTGATATCCATGCTACAATATAGGCCATAAAATCACCCATGCAAAGACGCATTCACAAAGCTTATCTTACGATAGTTGAGCTTTGATTGCGGATGTACAAACAATATACTACACTTTCCGATTATAGTTTCCAATAAACCACTTTCAAACATTACTATTAATAAAAATGAAAAAAACGTAAGAAGAATGGTACTTTTGAGAAAATCGATCCTGAATTCGCAAGGATTTTGAAACACTGGTGAATTAAAATGTATGTAGCAAATGTGTTCGTTTACATTCAAAATTTAAAAGAATAAATAAAATGAACTAAGCTTAGGCTTTCTCCTTATACAAATCTCATTCAAAATATATCTTATAGGTAATGCGTAAACAATGGACAAACTTTGCAAAAAATAATAAAAAAGAAGCGCTTCGCCATTTTTTGAAGAAAATATTCTAAAGCACAAAAAAAACATTTACTTTAATATTCACGGTGCAGACTATTTTTAAATTAGCATCAAGGGATTCTAGTGCAATAGTTTTACTCCGGCTTAACTAATCACGCACACCGAATACCCACCATCCTGCGTTAGTTGTTTGTGCGTGATTGCTTTAGCGGGTGATAGAAAACCCACATAGAAAACAAGAGGCCTAACGATGAACATTCGCCGCTGCCTATTAGGGAGTTTTGGTAGATGTTTTTCGCCGTCTCGCTATGGTGCCTGGATCGCGTCTTCGACTGGTGTGTTTAGCGTCCTATCCCGCCCATACATCAAAAGTGGTCCCAATGTGGCAACAAATGACGCGAGTGTCATGCTGTTGCCTGTCGCGATCCTGGCCGTTGGCCGTAGAAATGCTGGCGAAAAGTACGAGCGAACGCGAGTGTCGCTTTCGTCGCGGCGTCCCTTTAGGCGTCCCAACTTCCGGCTGCCCCAGCTTCCGTGAACTGTCACAGTGGGAAGCGACCTGCAGCAGAACAGGCGTCTGCCACTCCTACCACAACTGTTGGGGCGCCGCCAGGGTCGCAACAGGCGACAGCATGACACTTCTATGACGTCATCAGGCGGAAATCGAGGGACCACTTTTTTGGCCGCGGTAAACACACCAGTCGGAGACGCGTTCCAGGCACCATAGTCTCGTGACGGCTCTCTGCAGCCCGCTACGATACCCGAAACTCTCCAGTCAAGGCCATCGGCGCGCAGGGGCAGTTGCGTCTTCTTCTTTGTCGAGAAATTAGCGGAGGGGGAAACACGGTCTAGAAAAACTCCCCATTAACTTCATCAGCTTTAAAGGACTAGTAAAAGTAGAAGACTGGACAAGCCATGACTGTCAACCGACTTTTAATGGTCAAGGACAGGGTATAAGATAGACAGGTGGGGAAACGGCCCATAGAAGCCTACCGCAGCGCCGTGACCGGATTGTGTTCTCGTCTGCTTGCGGGTACGCCCGATTTGCGACAGATGGCGCTGTGGCGAGAGGAAAAAAACTGGAATTGGATTTGCATGGAACTCTATGGGAGAGTGCGCAAAATAAACCAAGACCACGACAGTCCTCCATTGAAAATCCACGAGAAACCACCTCCGTCAGTTTAGCCGGTCGCCACCGGTCGCCCACCAGGAGTGCGAGTTCGCGGTGCTCCAGATAGATGGCGCCACAGAAAAAGAGAAAGAGAAACCCAAGGGGGACACAATGCGGTCGCTTATTTGGCTCTCGTTTCCCCACCTGTCTATCTTACACCCTGGTCAAGGAGAGGAAATAAAAACACCGTAAAGGTTCTTTTTTTTTATATATACGTAAACAAGTTAAACTCCTCCCGTGACTTCGACGGCAGCTCCTGTCAGGAAGCTGCTCTTCGGGCTGCACATGAACGCGATCGTCTCGGATATTTCCTCCGGCCTGGCCTTGCGCTTCAACGCGGTTGCCGCTACAAAGATGGCCACCTTGTCCTCTGGTAACTTTTCTAGCATGGGCGTGTCCACGGGGCCCGGTAGAATGGCATTCACTCGGATGCCTCTTCCGGCCACTTCCAGGGCCACCGCCTTGGTAAGAGATATGACACCGCCCTTGGAGGCGGAATAAGGTGTTATTTCTGGGAAACCATTCTTTCCAATTATGCTTGCGATATTGACGATGGCGCCGTCCGTGACGTTGTTGGCCAGCATGTGCTTCACCGAGGCTCGATCAATCAGGAAGGTTCCCTGCGGGTGAATGGAATCGGCTGAGTGCTCACATGCCAGAACTATGTACTCAAAGGCGACATATCACCCGTTGGACAGCAAACTATACACTGGACGCATTACACACTAATAACAAGATGACATAAAGGATATGAACATGAAGACATGAGACGCGCTGGACTCAAAATTCTAGCTTCAATGAAATGGAAAAAAAAAGAGATGGAAGGAGTCTTGCGGTTCATATCCTTATCAGTACTTCGGCCTCTTTATACTTATTATGCTTAATCATCTAACCAACCCTAATATTTTAGAGCGCAGCTCTTAGGCGCCCGTTCCCGGCTTCAGCAGCGTCGGCGTCGCCGTCGCCGTCGCCGTAACCGCGGGGTGCATTATGGGTAAATTTCCCCGCTAAATCTAGCGGAAAAATTTCCCCGCTAAATCTAGCGGAACAATTTCCCCGCTAAATCTAGCGGAAAAATTTCCCCGCTATATCTAGCGGAAAAATTTCCCGCTAAATCTAGCGGAAAACTTTCCCCGCTACATTTAGCGGAAATATTTCCCTGCTAAATCTAGTGGAAAAATTTCCCCTCTAAATCTAGCGGAAACATTTCCCCTCTGAATCTAGCGGAAAAATTTCCCCGCTACATCTAGTGGGAAAATACACCGCTAAATCTAGCGGAAAAATTTGCCCGCTAAATCTAGCGGAAAATTTTTCCTGCTAAATGTAGCGGAAAATTTTCCCCGCTAAATGTAGCGGAAAAACTTCCCCGCTAAATCTACCGGAAACATTTCCCCGCTTAATCTAGCGGAAAAATTTTCCCGTAAATGTAGCGGAAAAATTTCACCGCTAAATCTAGCGGAAAATGTACCGGCTAAATCTAGCGAAACAAAGTTCCCCGCTAAATCTAGCGGAAACAATTGCCCGCTAGATCTAGCGGAAATATTTCCCCACTAGATCTAGCGGAAAAATTTCCCCGCTAAATTTAGCAGAAAAATTTACCCTCTAACTGGAGCGGAAAACTTTCACCGCTAAATCTAGCGGAAAAATCTCCCCGCCAAATCTAGCGGAAAAATTTTCCCGCTAAATTTAGCGGAAAAAATTTCCCCGCTAAATCTAGCGGAAAAAATTCCCCGCTAAATCTAGCGGAAAACTTTTCTGGGGGTCACGTGACCCCCCGAGGTCACGTGACCCTCGTGGACACGTGACACCCCCAACGTCACGTGACCCCCTCGTGAGCTTGGGGAGGGGATCATGTGACACCACCAAGGTCACGCTACCTCAGGTCACGTGGCCGCCCCCCCCCCCCCTCGAGAAAACGTGAACCTCAGCACCCTTCCCTCCTCCTCCTCAAGAGCTGTGCTCTAATTCGGCGTTACAGGGAGTTAATTGTAAACGGATTTTTTGTAGCTATACCCAGGGCACTAGATACCCTGTTAATTTTCACGGAACATTTGTATGCATTTACATTTTAACTATTCATATATCGGGTATGCTATTAATGTCCAAACTTTTTACATATCTACCGTTCGGAATGTTTTGATGGTGAAGGTTGGGCGCACCATGAACGTCGGAATGATCCCCTTTATAAAAAAATATTGTTATTGGGGATGGCAATTTTTAGATTGGACAGTTACCAAAGCACAGAATATTAAAATGAGGATGACCTTATGCACACGAACTCGAGAGCGGCGTGAGCTCTAATAAAGATTTGAACCGCAGCTGGGAGCTGGCATAATATGGGGATGCTAGCGTAATTTGTATTGTGGATGCTATTCCTTGTTACTGGGCACCGTACGTAATGAGTCTAGTAAAAGGTCTCGCGGCAAGAATGTATAGGTTTAAAGAATTGATCACGTAATGAAATCAAAAACAGGCATTATATCAATAAATCATACTAATCTTATTGACAAAAAAAAAATAAAGGACGTGCAGTATAAAACAAGCTTTTCTAATATGAACTGTGACCGTGTGTACGCTCTAAAGATTGTTCAGCAGCGATCTTTTCTAGATGATCTTTGAGTTTTAAGTACAATTGAAATAAAAGGCCCATATTTTGCTTTGTGTTAATATATAGTAAAAGAGGTTCTTTCAAAAATACCTCCACCCTTTTCACTTTAAAAGAGCAAACGCCGGAGAGAATGCGAGTGAAAAGCAGCAAACCATCAAACTTAAGGAACATAAATCTTTGTGGGTGGATCTTGTTCTTGTGTTCTAAATTTGGGAGAATCTATATGGAACGACGATGGTGCTATCTCGAGTTGTGAAGAATGGTTCATCGCATTGTTCGGACTCACCCTCAAATTTGTGGCGAGTACATCATCAAAGTCACTGTCACTCGTTTTCTCAATTGTCATTGGGTCTCCCGCAATACCGGCGCAGTTCACAACGATGCTGATTTTTTTGTCAGGAAAAGACGCCTCAACCTCTTCATACAGAGCGCTGACAGCAGTCGAGTTGGAGACGTCCACGTGGATGGCCAGGTGATCCCCGTTGTATGAAGCTATAAAAAGAAATAACACCTGGACAAGTGGAAGGACCATTGGCGTGAGGCGCTATGAGTTGGCACTACAGTGGCAGATCAGTGCGACACAGCAGGCGTGCGGGGATTAGCCCCGGGTAGGCTTAGTCGATAAAAAAAAAGTTTTAAGAAACTGCTATATTGTTCATTTTCGAAATGTAGCAGTTGTGTAATGGCAGAGGCACCCCATGTATCGTTTTATTCATTTCAGTTAGCGCTAAACTTAGTCGGCTTACATTGAAACTAAGTGTACACACATTTTTGAGGCCAGAATTATTTTTTACTTGCAATGGGAGATAAACGTTTGTATAGATCGGGATAGGGCAGGACATTTAGAAGGCACGCGTTAACTTCATGAGTATTGTCCATACCACAAATAAAATATGAAGAGTGTTACGCGTATCGAATTGCATACGGTTAAATAATGTTTCTTATACCCAGGACATGCCACAGTTAACATGTTCGTGCATTACGTGGTCACCTAGAAGTCAATACTGATGTTGGGAATATATATGCAGCGATTGGTCATTTTTTTTTTTAAACTTATCCACTTATTTTACGCTGTGAATGTGAAATCTTGAGAGTGGAACAGAAGACCCGAGTTCGCAAATGGGCCACGAAAATTATTTTTACTATTGCTGCTCCAAATGTAGAGATATATCATTAAAACATTCGCGAGATTGAACAAAATTGCACCATGTTTATGTTTTACGCACCATAGTGACTGACAGGATGATTGCCGGACGTCTCTTTCAAGTTCCCTACCTCAATCATGTGCATGTTGACTTCAGCAGTGTTTTGACTGTGCAAGTTAACTTGAGGCTCACACAATGCCAACATTTTATGGAAGGTGGGAGGCTCGCACTCGAAGGGGGACAATTTAAATTCGTCCCTGACTTTCTCATCTTGTGAATGTTTTCAGTTAGAAAGCCAATAGAGGTTATAATCTCCTAAATTCGCTGCTGGTCACTTTTTACCGAGCCAAGCTTTTGAATCGGCAATACGCTCAGCAGATACTGCACACTTGTTGCTACACCCGCTCATTGCTGTTCTCCAAATATAAAATTTTCTGGTAATCGCTAGAATATTTCACTCTAAAGATTGGAAACTCGCACCCAAAAATACACGAAGAAGGAACGGAAATCGGAGGATGCGAAAATCGCCTGATACTTTTAGAAATATAAGAAAAAACTAAAGACTTTTGACTTCTTTGTAATGCCGAACCAGAGCGCAGCCCTTAGGAGGAGAAGGGAATGTGACGGAGGGGAGGTTTGGGTACGGAGGGGAATTGACCGTAATATTGTGGCACAATTTTCCTGGGTATTCCCCCGCTAAATTTAGCGAAAAAACTTCTTGGCGGAAAAATTTCCCACCAAATTTGGCGAGAAACGTTCCCCGCTTCATTTGGCGGAAAAACTTCCCCACTAAATTTAGCAAGCAAATTTCCCCGCTAAGTTTAGCGTAACAATTTTTCACCAAATTTAGGCGTCGGGTGACGTAACGAGGGTGACATCACTCGTGACACTCGTTACATCACACGTGACGTCACGTGTGATGTCATTATGGGAAACGTTCCACAATGCAACACGCGGTTTCGCCGACGGCGACGGCCACGGCCATGGCGACGGCGACGCCGCTTAATCCGGAACGGGCGCCTAACAGCTGCGCTCAAAACTAGTGTAATAGTCGCATGTAATATACAAATATAAATTAGTCAAAGGCGTGTTTGCGATTTTTACAGACTAATGACCAACCAGCTGCTGGTTCGAAACAATGGAGTAGAGCTAGTTTTATGTGATCTGAATTTCCTGTGAGTTGTTGGGTAATTTACCGCACACGCATCTCAGCCTTAATACTAACCTGCGTGATCTCAACCATCTGATCATCCACCTTGGATACTTTGAAACAAGCAACGTTCTTCTGCAGATATGGTCGATAGTCTGAGTTTCGACTGATGGCCATTGCATGAATTAAAAAGAAAGGCGAACATCCAAAGCTTGCGGTGCGTGTTGAGAATAAAGCGACCTTCGCGCCTCAACAAGCGTCTAAAAACAGCATTTCTAGCCACAAATATGTTCACGTCATACCACTCATCGAAATCGTTAGAAACGCGAGGGCACGAAAAATTTTGACCATACAAATATTGCTCATGTGAACATGAACACAGAGCAGGTTGGTACAGTTGACTTGAAACACGAAAGAATAAAACACATAGGGACGGATATACACGAACATGACAGATATTTCAATTAGCAACCGACGCTTATGATGCCTCCTCAATGGGTCAGCGCTTCTCTATCCCAACCTTCGAAAAGAGGGGAAAAAACCGCAATAACAGACAAGACAGCGCGGTTGGAGAAATGGGGAAAACAACAAGATACTCAAATTAAAATTAAACTATATAAATAAAAAATATACATCTTTACTAGCAAAAAAAGAAAACAACGCCGGAAAAACAAAAAGCGCTGAACCAACTTGAGCTCAGCGCTCTATCGCCTCTCTCAGAAACTCTACCTCTTCGTTGGTTCACCTAAGGGAGGGTGAGGCGTAGTTCAAATCATACCTGGCTATCTTGAAGGACTTAATAATTTATCGTCCTAATCTGTCCTTGTGTCTCCAAATGACTCGCGTAGCTTCAAAGTCCGGCTCCCAGTTTGAACTAATGTAGTTTTGCTCCACAATGGGATGAAGGGAGTCACTATAGACGCACGGTTTACTTCGAGGATGTGCTCCATGAGGCAAGTGTTGAGCAGGGTGTAAGATAGACAGGTGGAGAAACGGCCCACAGAAGCCTACCGCAGCGCCGTGGCCGGATTGTGTACTCGTCTGCTTGCGGGAACCCCCATTTGCGACAGATGGCGCTGCGGCGAGAGAAAAAAAAAAATCAGAATCGGATTTGCACGGAACTTTATGGGAGAGTGCGCAAAATAAACTGAGAGCACGACAGTCCTCCATTGAAAACCCACGAGAAACCACCTCCGTCAGTTTAGCCGGTCGCCACCGGTCGCCCACCCGGAGTGAGAGTTCGTGGTGCTCCACAAAGATGGCGCCACAGAAAAAGAGAAAACCGAGGGGGATACAATCCGGTCGCTCATTTGCCTCTCGTTTCCCCACCTGTCTATCTTACACTGTGGTGTTGAGGGACCTGCAGCTCTGTCTGACATACCTATCCCCGCAGATAGAGGGTTATGGGACACAAACATCTCGTCGCAGGTGACAAATGGGTTGGCATGCTGGATGGAGCAGACTTTGGGGCACTGTTGTCATTCACCTTTTGGGAAAGTTTTTTTAGGCTTCTCTTGCACGATAAAACAACAGAAGTACCATACCGCACAAAGTTCGCACTCTAAAATGGTCAAGTATGGAATTGTCCGGTTCCTCTCTCTCGTCCCGTGCTAAGTCCAGGGCCCACCTTGTTCAGTTCAGCTTATCAGCACAGCAAGAACGCCTCCTCAATGTTGGGTACCCGAAGTATCTTCTTTCGACCACTTTCATGCGTGTAATTTTAGGTTCCGCGAGCTCTCGGTTTCCCAGAAGGAGAACTTCTCAGGTCGTTACCATTCCTTTCGTCCATAACGCTTGTCACAGCTTGAAGACCATCGCAGCGCGGTGAGGTACTTCACTTGTTTTCTCGTACAAGACGCACCTAAAACAGTTTTGCCAAAAGGTCAATGACCACAGTGCCCCCAAAGTCTGATCCATCCAGCATGCAAACACATTTGTCCCCTGCGACGAGAAGGTTGAGTACCGTACTCCTTCTACCTGCGGGTATAGGTACGTTGGACAGACCGGTAGGTGCCTCAACTCTCGTCTCCGGGAGCAGTTCCCCGAGGTGACACGTGCGTCTAGTGGCTCTCTTTATCCCATTGTGGGGCACAACCGCATTTGTTCAAACTGTGAGCCGGACTTCAAAGCTACGCGAGTCATTGGGAGGCACAAGGACAGACTAGGACGAGAAATTATTCAGTCCTTCAAGATATTCAGGGAGGATTTGAACTATGCCTCGCCCTCCTTTAGGTTAATATAGGCAGAGGTAGAGTTTCTCAGAGAGGAGATGAAGTGGTGAGCTCAAGTGGGTTCTCAGCTTTTTCTTTTTCCGGCGGTGTTTTCTTCTTCTTTTTCTAGGAGTGACAGGCATCTTTTTTTTATTTATTTTAATTTTAAATTTGAGCATCACGTTTTTTTTTGTTTGCCTCTTTTTTCCAACGGCGTTATCTTCTGTGTTATAGAAGGCTTTCTTTCTCTTTTTTCGAGAGCTGGGTTAGAGAAGCGCTGACCGATTGAGGAGCCATCATGAATGACGGCTGCTAATTAAAAGAACTGTCCTGTCTCTGTGTGTCCCTCCCTCTGTGTTTTATTCTTTCGTGTTTCAAGATATATTGATCCGCAGCTTCAAAGGTAACACTTGGGAACACGCGCATCAGCGTGTCCGTTCCATGCGTTCTTTAATGCTCTTCAGAAGGTTAGCAGCGATATAAAGCCCGCGAGTTTGCACTTCTGCAGAACACGAAAACTGCCAATCACGGCAAACAAGATCTGGATCCCAACCAATGAAGAACGTTAAAATGCGAGTCTGGAAAATGAGATCAGCCAAAGGACAATGTAGAAACGTCAAACTCGTCATCCATGCGCGAATCAGATCTTTTTGTTCGCATTGTATCTGACGTGTCCTGAAATTGTTCGCAGTGATTGTGTTTCGTAGCCTTCTCCAAAAAAGTTAACTCGCTCACATTTTTTTTTACTGTACAGGGCGTTTCCCCCAGCAATTGCCGAAAGTATTAAGGTGGACAGTTAAGCTAGTACGTACAGATTAAACATGGTTAAAGATGCGCACAAAGGCACAGCAACAGAGAAGAAAAACACGTAGACGATAAGCCCACAACTTCTCAACTTGAGCAGACAGCCTTGAACTGAGCAACAACTTTAGTCCAGCGGACTAGCGCGCTTATTGGTTTTCCACGTGTTTCTCTTTTCTGTCCCTGTCTTTGTGTGCGCACATTAATGATATGTAAAAAATATTTTTCTCGCCGCAAAAATAAAGGTTGCGGAACATTTATTTTTTTTTGCCAAAATATAGCGCTAGATGTCAGTATTAAACTAACCGTTTTCTTATTCAAAATTTATAACTGACATTCCAAAACGCTGAATGGAAATTGGCGGCCGACGGAGCACTTGAATGCAGGGAGCTCAGTCGCGCCACTCACAGACAACATGCGAAAAAGGGCCCCAGTTTAACAATATTTTTTTTAGAAAAGGACTTTGAATATTGATTGATGAAAAGGTTAGTTCTGAAACTTTGACATTTGGATCGAACCGCTAGCCCTACTTTTGATGAGACTGCGCCTTCTGCGATGATTAGTTAATCGTTTCAGTTAAAATATACCCTGCGAGCTTGTTTTTGGAACACGCTTAATATGTATTTCGTTCACCAATACGATTAGGCCCCATCTCGAACTATCTGGCACATCTGAGCAGCAGCATTCACTATGGTGGCAGCTTGGCAGTCACCAAGAGGACTTCTTCCATAGGTTACTAGCTCAACTATTATGGAGGACGTGGTTGCTTGAAATTTTCTTATTGGGTCCAGGCGCTGAATTGTTTTAATGTAAACATCTGCAGATGGCGATGTATAAAAAATAAATGAATTAAAAATTAAAGGTACACTCTGAAAAAAAAAGGGTATCACCTAACACCAATTTGTCCCATATAATACACCCCAAAAGTTCATTTCGACGTACAGCGCCCTAGAGTCAAACAGACGGCACCAAATTTTACCAAGGGCTTGATAACGGTGCGACATAACTTATTAACTTGCTAAAGTACGTATCAAATACCAAAGAAAGAAAACACGGAGCTTTTGCAGTACGGCCAAGAAGCCTCCCATAATTTTTTTTGTAGTCAATAATACGTACATTAGCTATCTTAATAAATTGTACCACACGACTATCAATCCCCTCGTAAACTTTGGGGCCGCCTGTTCGATTATGGGGCGCTGTACGTCGAATTGAAGTTTTGGGGTGTATTATATGGGACAAGGGTTGTAATAATGCACCTTTTTTCTGAGAGTGTAGATTCATTGGTAGACCCTTAGAAGAGACGCTGGCATGACCTTTTGGGAAACGCCACACACGTCCCCCTTTGGAACGCTGCTTCGCCCCAGCCTGTGTCGTACAGACACCCGCGTCGGCTTGCCGCTTTTTCCGTTGAATTTCGGCCAGCTGAGCTGCGCGCTGCTTCCGTTCCTCTGTCTGGTTCGCTCGCCTTGCACGCTTAGCAGCTTAGAAGCGGATTCCGCTGTCTAACATTGCTTTCGCTGTTCACCGGTTTCGGCAGCCGGTCTCCTTCGTGCACAATCCGCCTTCGCTTGCCAACTACTTCGACCAGCGGTAGTACTTGGTTCACGGTCCCTTTTGTAGCACAAACCAAGGCATACACGTTCCGCACATCTCCAACTTCAGGTCACGTGGTTCAGACTTGCCACAGCATCTGGGCCAGCATTAGCACCCGCCCCGTGACGTCGCCTCCCTTTTGCCTTTGTCCTTCACCACTCTCCTTCTCACTACGCGGTGCGCATCACTTTCCACTGTTTTGTCCGCAGACGAACGTTGTCAGCTTTTCCCTGCCATGTGGGTTGTAATGTAATAATGTAAACGATTACGGCTATACAAGGTGTCGAACTGGGCGAGTTGGTAAAAGGTTGACTTGGTGGGTGTAACAGCTTCAAAAAACGAGGACGATGAAAGGAATAGACACGACAGGACAACAGCTGTTTAACCATCGTGGTGTTGAGTTACCAGGCGACCACTAATTGCGTTTCGGAATTGAAACGGACACCACGGGTAATTTAAGAGGGTTTACAATAGCCGGTATCAAGGCACACCCAGAGTCGTAGATGCCGTGAGAGGGCGCTCACTTCTTGCAGGCTGTGTTTATACTGTCGGAGGCATGTCTGTTTCTGAGAAGGCAAATACATCATAAATGAGGCACAGAAGATCCTTGAAGTTTAAGAAAGTCTTCGTAAGGATTCACAGACCAATAAGAAGCCTTAAGATGTCCTTCAGAATCTTTGTAAACAATTTAGACTTCAACAATTCAACCTCTTCAGGCTATATCTAAATGAACGCCAGTGCTGACTCCAAGGCTTACATCATCTTAAAGCATAGGGACACTAATTTCGGCAATATTAAAAGCGTTCGCGATTGCGTAATTAGGCGGCAGAAAATGAAAAACCACGACAATGTTTTCATGAAATCAGCTTTACAATCTAAGCATTTCATCGATATGTCTTTTTTTCCCGTCGCCAACCAGATGCTGTGATTTTACCCATCCCCGCGGTTACATGAGGTTTGTTTTGTATTTTATAAACCACCCGCCCCTCCCCAATATGCCTCTCGTTAGATGATAAAGAATACTTTAGAGAAAGGACGGCGAAAAAAAATGTTATATGAGAAAAAGGCCCTATAGAATTTGTACGACAGGGGGCTGTTCACTACGGCTTCAGGAACTGCGCATATCAAGGAAGACGAAACTTCAACTTAAGTTGTTTTTGCGTCGAAAACGTAGTTGTCCTTTTTATGTAGCGAATACTCGAGCGCTAGTTTCTAGATCAGTTGCTTGCTAAAGGAAACGGTCAGCTAGAGCGATAAGGAAAAGCACAGACTGGGAGAAATAAATACATGCACACCGCTGACTATCAACTGAGAATTTATAATTCTTCTTCATCACTTTAACCCAAAAGATTCACACCTAAAGTAATTGCAATAAATGCACCGACGCCGCGAGCTCCCTGATTTTAATGACAATGACAGTGTCAGGGAGCACGCGGCGTCTGTGCAGGGCGCCGGGGCTGGGCACCTTGAAGACCATTGCCGCACGTGCGGGTGCCGGCCAAGTTTTAGCAGCATTTCTATTCTTAAAAGACACAGAAATGCCTTTGTGCGCGAGATTCTCGGGGCCCTGACCATTGAGGAAACCACCGATGACTGCGTGAGCATGCCCTCCTTCACGGTCAGCAAGAAAGAAAGGCGGTTTTTGCAATGGGTCACAGCCCCGTGAAAGGGAATAAAAGGTATATGCGTCGCTGGGGGTTTGTGGGTTGGGTGAGAGAGGTCTGATTGACCAAATTTATTAATTTAGTGTAATTTAATTTAGTAATGTTAGTTTATAGGTTTGTTATTACTTTAGGTGTGAATCTTTGGGCTAAACTGATGTAGAAGAAGTATTAGGTATGAGTTGGTAGTCAGCGGTGTGTATGTCTATTCCTCCCTGTCTGTGTTTTGTCCCTAACGTTCTAGCTGACCGTTTTCTTTTGCATTATGCACCAACTAGCTTAACTTCAGCCTGTTATTGAGTTGGTTGCTCAAGATTGTGTGCAATAAAAGCGACAGGGTAATATATCAGCAACTTAACCGACGGACCTTGGAGCATCAGCAAGGTTTCATTGGAGCCCGTTTTGTTTCTGTCCGCAATAACGACCGTGGCTCCCTCTCGTGCGAGTACCATGCAGACGCTTCTTCCGATCCCACTTGCACCCCCGGTTACAACTGCCAGGCGGCCGCTGAGTCCCAGAGATTGGCACTCGGTCTGGTTGTTCGCAGGACGAGGAGTTTCCTGATTGCCATCATCCTGGCAGACCAATGACCCTGAAAGCACGCACGAGTATTAAAATGAGCCCCAAAAAATTCAGTTTCTGCGGTGAAACTACAAAACTTCTTACCTTTAACCTTTTTTAAGTACCCCTTGAGCGGTTACAGCATGATAGCATGTGACGTGTGATTCATCACCAATTTAATTCTTCAAACGTAAATAAATCTAGCAGCCCACTCTCTTGGCCACAACAATAGTTTTAAGAAATGAATAGCTTGGAAAACCCAAACACGACGGCCCACATTGAGTAGGATATAACGCCATAAAACACGGTTACATCCGCCACTCGACGACACTGATAGGCCTGGTCGGAAAACTACCTCTTTATAGTACATAAAGAAAAAGCATTCAGGAGAAAGAACAGTTTTTGTTTGTGGCTGAACTGAGAAAAGTTTTGGATGGTGAAAATATTACACATGTTAATGTTTCTCCGTAATGCGGAATTAGAACGAATTGCTGGAGTCTTTTGATTTTGCGTTATTCCGCAGTATAGAATGTGAGAAATAAATATATATATATATAATTTTTTTTCTTTCCTGCTGTCGGTAAGCTTGGAATGACGAGGAATGTGCGGGGGAAGGGGGGGCAGTAAGGGGGGGGGGGGGGAGGGGGGGAGGGTGTCCCGATAATCCAACGCGCGTTGTGTTTCTTTGAACGTGAAACATTTTTTGTCTAACTTCTCCATATTTCGTGAAGCCGTGGCCTGTGACGTCACACGACGTCACACTTTCCCCGCTAAATTCAGCTGACAAATTGACGCTACGTAACGCCAACAGCAATTTAGTTTCACCGCTAAATTTAGCGGGGAAAGTGATGTCACAGGACTTTGTGTTACGTGACCCAGACACAAATTCGTTTTCCCAACAAAATTTAAAGGGAAGCTGACGTCACGTGATTTTAGCACCATTTACGTTTCGCCGCTAAATTTAGCGGGGAATGGAATTTGCGTATAGGTCTGTGACGTCCCATAATGTAACGCGTGTGGTTACGCCGACGCCGACACCGCTATAAGCTGAAACGGGCGCCTAAGTGCTACACCCTAGAAGCAAAGACACCATTCCTCCCTATGTTCTGGTAAGCACGAAGTGAACTAAGCCTATTTCAGGGTTGGAGAAAGTGTGAGCCCAGTTATGGAATACTATATCATAAACTTCCGCGAAGGCCTAAGGATTTGCTTAGCCATCCCTAGGTTTTTATCCGTAGAGCACGAGCACGACCGGGTCTCGGACTGGGTATCTGGGAGTTATTAGCCTAGCACCATCCACTGAAACGATATGCGATGAACTTAGAGCTGGCATTTAATCATACCGAAATGTTCTAGTGAGAGTATAACAGGAGTTTTAGGACAAACTTACCGACCGCCAGAAGGGCGACTAAAACCTTCAACTTCTCTCCACTCATGTTGAAAGACTGCCTGGAAGATGATTAAATGGTTTGACGCTCATCGCATAAACTGACGGCTTTTATAATGCGGCATTCTATGACGTGCCTGTCCCAAATAAGGACACAAACGTTAAACATAGATGGCTGCCGCGGATCTACTCAGCTTGATCTGAAGCCTTGAAATACCACGCACATTATGACGAATGAGGACTTTTTTTTTTTTTTTTTCAACCGTAAGGGCATAGTCTACGCATTCTGGAAACGACTATTGCGTGCTGCGCCAACGAGGCTCAAAGTAGGAATTGTACGCGCAATAACGTGTTACAGCCTTTTCAGAGCAACCTTGCAGCTGTTGTCGTTTTCAAGTTCTGCCCCTCTTTGCGCAAGCTGTTGTTTTCAGCTTCCGAGTGGTTTATGCTAAAATATGACCTTGCCCAACGTGTTCGCGGTACAAAGTCACGGTGAAAGCGAAGGCTCATCTAATACTGCAGCTCTCCCGAACAACATCATCAAGGTTGAAGCCGGTACTGTGTGCCAAAAAGCACAGGTGTGAAGTGTCATGTGCTGGGGAAGGATACAGAAACTGGATCACGGTCGCCCCACATGATGGCGCGAGATCCGCTAATGCAACGATACCTGTAAGATGATCGAAATAGAATAATGGTTTAGTGTTACACCTCAGACTAAAATATAATCAATTACGGGAATATGGTACAGCTCACTAAAAGTAAATGTGTGTTACAGTTAAGATAATTAATCACAAACCGGCCATTATGTTTAATGTGGGCTTTAAATTAACGGTTTCCCAGCCAGTGCGACGTTTTAAATCTGCGTTTGTGTAAACGTTTCTTGAGTTTGGCGCCCTTATTGTAATACAGACACAATTATTTTCAACGTTGCTTCAGTGTTAACGTGAACATGTATCTAATAGAGCGGCTTTTCACACTTTGAGCTGTAGCGACATACGAGCAAGTCCCAAATTCATAAATGCAGTGTGTACACTGCACAATGTCAGCGGAAGTCATAGATCGTTTGTTTGATATTTTTTGAAAACTAAATTTCGCATCCTTGTAACGAAGCTGCGTTCCCCGTTACTGCGTTAGATAGTCAATAAGCCGTAAAGTCACATTGTCCGCAGTAACCCAATCTTCGGCTTAGGTGCTGTCTCATTAAATACTCACATTTTACGTCACAGCGACATAAAATGTATTTCATGTTACAGTATCAGTTAGAATCACTTCACGGAGCCTCGTCGGTGCCTGAAAACTTCCGTTTTATTTTCTTTCCTTCATGCTAAATTACATTTCTAAAATGTAATAATTTTGGGTTCAATGTAAGTCACCTATTCTAGTCACGTTCTAGAGACGGGCATGGGAAGACTCCTACTTTAAGAGGGGCCGTAGAAATAAATATTACATTTGCGGGGATTGTTCCTTGACAAACCACTGCAATACAGTGGTTCCACTTGGACAAGCCAATGGCAAGTCGGGATGCCTGGCGTTCGTTGCCCCTTCTCCCTGCAACGTTTTGTTCCCGCTTTGGCTTTCGTTTTCTCTTTTTCTGGGTCCTTGCGTTTCCTTTCTCTTCCAGGTTTGGTCGTGGTCACCTCAGTGTCGTGTTTCGCAGAGGTGTCGGAGGTGTCTCGTTCGCTTCCAGAGTGTTGCTGCTCTATGTTGCTTGTCCGCCATTTTTTTTCTCGGGTGTTTCGATTGTCTCGGGCCGCCATACGAGAAAACAGTCATGTGTTCAATTCGGTCATCGGTTGTGAATTTTCTGATGTTGGCGCGTGATTCGATTGACCGTGAAGATGGCGCAGCTCAATCAGGTTCTATTTTTTCTTTCTTTAATAAAACCTGTGCTGTTGCCGCGATTCTTGGAAGTTTGATTTAGCACATCCCACGATCAGAGGTAAAAATTACGGTACTTTGCTTATCTCGAAATTTCGCTTATCTCAAATTTTTTTTCGCGGATTTTACGACGTTGAGTTAACGAGGTATAACTGTACGTAGCAGGAAATAAAAATAAATAAATACAGATGTCTAAAGTGGTTACTTGACAGAAATGCTTTATACTTCTGACAGGCAAATTTGGATATATAAACAATTAAAATAGCCTATTCGGAGAGTTTTTGGGGACATCAAGAATGTAGGGAAACACCATATAAACCCTGACACACGGACAATAAAAATCGCCTGTAGCACAATGATTATATATAACTTCAAAAGAAACTTTCTTTTTGAAGTGTACTAAACTGGGTCTGATTTCTTAATTCCGTGCAGTAAATTACGCTCTATCTTGAGAATGTAACAAAAGCAGCCTTTGTCTATTAGATAAAAAATGGTGAATTCATGTGATCCCGAATAGGCTACAAAAACCTTAGTTCTCGCCTCAATGGTCAACAACATCAGAATTAGAATCCACCGCACTTCGTATTGTTCTCCGAAACAACTATGTTTCCTGTCAAACTTAGATTGTAAGCAAGACATAAAAGCAGCCAAAATTGTTTTGCCCAGAAACACACCTCGATACAAACGCAGTAAGTTGTAGAACTCTCTAGTTCCACGAACTACTACTTCCAAATAACGACTGACTTTGTTTTTTAAATAATTATATAAAATTAAGGCCTAACAACATTCTAACTCAAAACAATTCCTGGGTACGCTGAGATACCTTCTCGAGATAATCTTAACAATATAAGCTAAGCTCGCACAATGTAAACTCAATTACCCCTCAAAACATTTTACAACGTGTAAGGTGGTCTAATTTTTTTGGTACAACCTGAAATAGATGACTGTCTTAATGGTGTCACGGTGGTTGTTCAGTTTAAAATTTTTTGCTCGGACACTGTCTAGAACTTCCGGCAGGACAGTAGGTCTGCGCTATACCACCTATTCCTCAAACACACGCTACGTGTGGGACTGTCCCAAAAGCCACACATCCGGAAACTCTCTCATTTTCCCCCTCCCTCCCAACCAACACTTTTAGAGCTGGACATAGTGGGTCATACTTCCCAGAATCCTGACCGCCAGGCTCTAGTCCCTTCTTGTTCGAACCGTTCAAAATATGAAGGGCGGAGGGTGGAGAACCCCCTAATGAATCTCCGGACAAGGGAGTAACAAGTAAACATGATATATCTTTCTATTTTAAAACTAACTTCCGACACGCCAGATGACTCCGGATTAACTAAGCAATACAAGACGCCTCCTCTAAAACGTCTTTTCTGATGGCTGCGCCCCGCCTTTTCTTTGGGCACGCCAGGATTCATCGTAAAAGTTTTTTTATAGATGTAAAACTTAATGCCACTTTGATCGCCACCCTCCACTTTCCTCGGGAGGGGGGGAGGGCGGGATTACGTGCCAAACCAACGAACTTACTTTTAGGGAGAGAAGCGTGAGTATTTGGCCATGTCCGAAATGCAGATTGCCTTTACTGCTGCTAATGTAAGGCTACAGATATCAGCATATTAAGACGCCTAAGATTTTACCTTTCGTAGACAAAAAATAAAACATAACCCCCCTCCCCCCCAAAAAAAAAAAAATCCTAGTTATTTTTTTTCTGTATTTAAACGTCAACTACGTGATTACCGGACGCTTAGTTTTCCGTTAAAATATAGGGCAAGCGATCTAAATTATAGGCCAAGTTTCGCGAACTATCTGTTATCTTATTCAAAATCTATGAGTTATTCCTGATACTTTCAATGACAAAATGATGATATTTCCCGGGAGCTGACCCCGTTCATCTCCGGGTGTTTGTCGGTTTCTGTCGGCTGAAAATGTTGCGTAGAAAAGATTCTGAAATCGCTTATAACTTTGGAGCCAGAAAATGACACCTCTCAAACTTTGCCAACTGGTCCAGGTCGAAAGTGCTACATTGGGGCTGTTCGGCGATGCGTACTCTATTTTGAGAGGGCAGCTATTATACTTGATTTCAGCTTAGGTCCGAGCCTGGCCGTTGTTATGAGCCGAAGGTCCAATCAAAGAGCGCAAAAAGCGCGACGTCACGGCATTCTTCGCTCTTGATAGGGAGACCCAGCGGAGGAGCAGGCACTGAAAGACGTCGAACACCGCTGGTCCTATCAACTGCGGATCCCAAAGCTGAAGTTTGGGATTATTTGTGCTAATATTTAGCTCGCGAACAATGAGTCATTCATAGTTTTGCTAACAAAAATCCTTTTTTTACTTTCTTTTTACTTTTTTATATATTGAAAGCCGGCCGCCAGATAAAGCTGTATATACACCAGGTAACGAAGTATATACCTCAAATAAGGCTGTATGTATGCCAGATAAGTCTGTATATACGCCAGATTAGGCTCTATATATTCCAGATAAGGCTTCATTTTCGCCAGATAAAGCTGTATATGCGCCAGATAAGGCTGCATATATGCCAGATACGGCTGTATATACATAAGATAAGGCGGTATATACGCCGTATTTAATCATACCATGTTTGATATGGCCAGATATGCCCCAGGTATCAGATTTTTATACGGGGTAAGTTGAAATGCTCCCTCAAATCTAGGCTCGTTATCCTGCAGTGCCCTTGCGAAATATGTTGCCACTTCCAGAACAGCTTGACGCTCGAGCAACGCAAAGCGCTCAGCACACTACACGCTTTTTTTCCCTATCCCTCGTTATATATTCGAATGGGTTTGCTGACGCACTACAGCCACCTGGACTTCGCAATTCGCAATCATGATGGCATGCATGTACGACCGCATCATTGCAAAAGCCGGGGAGAGCCATGCGTCCTCTGCCTTGCTCTCAGTAACCAAGGAGGATGAGCTGGCACAAATATGAGACGAAAGAGTTTTGTAAACGAAAGGAATTAAGCAAAAAGACATGTAGCTTAATATCGTGTTGACAAATGTAGTCATGCGCTAACTGTAGAGTGTCTAATGTGCGACGAAAAAGCATGCTTTTGGCTCGATGTGCCAAAAGCATGTTTATGCTTGCGTCGCTTCGATCGGAAAATTAGCAATCTGCCGACAAGAAAATCGTGCAAAACTGCTTGAAAACATAGATACAACGCCCTATTAAAGGTACTCAATCCTTGGCATCCAGTTCTTCACTTGTGCTATTTCACTCAGCACGTAACGCTAGTGGGTTGCTTGGTGTTTTGTTTGTGCTGTAAAGATACCCTATGTGGAAATCGCGCCCTTCGTAGTTCTGAATCTTGACTTCTTTTTTTTTTTTTTAACTAAACCCCCAATTACAAAATTCCGTACACCCGTTCGTGCATTTTCCGCTAAAATTAGAGAGAAAATCAGCGAGTTTTAGTAGACCGTGTTTCCGCTCCGCTAAGCCCCTCCGCTACCCAGAACTCTATAGCCAAGGACATCGGCGCGCAGGCGTAGTGGCGGTTTCTTCGTAGCGGAGGGCTAGCGGAGGGGGAAACACGGTCTACTAAAACTCCCTATTGACATCACGCGACGTAACGTCACGTGACCTATACACCACGTGTAGAAATTAACGTCACGTGATCTACACGTCAATTCAGTTGCCTAGCTAAATTTAGCGGCAGAATTCACTTTTCGTGATCATGACATCAATTCAGTTCCTCGGCTTAACTTAGCAAGAAAATGGACATCACGTGACCTATAAACCAATTTTCCAGCTACATTTAGCGGGTAAATTGACGTCACGTGACCTAAACACATATTCAGTTCGCCTCTACATTTGGGGGATGAATTCCACGACTTTACCTACACGAAATTGGCAGCGTCCTTCATTATCGCGGTTTTACTGAAAGAGAGCGAGAGACAAGTGGCAGAGG